TGAGAGACATAGAATAATCTAATTTTACTTGCATGAGAATTTAATGTACGTTTTTAGTCTCAGTCATTTAGGGCACTTCATTTAATAATTTTTTTTAGAGCTTCCTAAAAAAGAGAGTAATTATTTTAATAAGAGGCCTATTTCGTTGTGCATCCACTTGAAGTGCATGATAATGCAAACATACTACTTTTAAGAATAAATTAAAAGAAAGATATTTATATTAAACAAGTTGTTTTTGACTAGAGTATTTATGAAATATGATAATTAGCCTTTAAATAATCTTCGTTACAGCGCATGCTACGGCTTGATCTAATCAGCGAATGAAATTCTTAAAGTTCAGTTAAATCATCTGAATGGCCAAGTCAAATTTTGATGATAAATTTGTTCTTCCCTTCGATCAATTCTCGAATTGGATACATTGTATTTGCATAGTAAATTTCGATATTGATTTAGGGCAAATACTAGAGGTATGCTTACTACCCTTAATGATCGCATAGGTTATTTATCCAGATCATGTAGTTCTAACGGATTCTGAAGTATTTATAACAAAATGTCTTATATTATTTAAAGAGATATAATATAGGCTACCTTTCCTTTCCGGATTCGCACTCTTCATGCCTCGGAAACACGCAATTTCATTTCAGAATTCGTTCTCCTTCATCAGAAAGATTTTACATGTTCAAGCGTTTATATGACTTATTTCCTCCTTTTTTGAGGGTATATAATTGATATTTTATTTGCTTTACAGCCTACAAGTGGCTATCTTTTTGGATATGTTTACTTTCGCCAAGTCAAGGACCTATCCATTAAGCGCAATTACTTACAGAAGGTTCTGCTTATTTTTACATACTTTTTAGTCCGTTGTCATTCTTTCTCCATGGCCGTTTCAAACCCTTTTTTATAGGAAAGCTTCCTTATTAGCTTGTGAATATTTCTTGTCGGGTCGGATTGCTCTGGAGGCTGGTATGTGCATTTGCTTTTGAACTGAATGTTAAAACTTTATCCCGATAGCTGGACATGATGTTGATAAGTGGCCACCGCCTTTGCCGAACTGCATTCTTACTTTGCCGCTCCTTGGCTCTGTCACACAAATTATTATTCCCGGCAGAAAAATGTCTTCTGTTCGACCTTCATCCTTGGCATCTTCTAAAGAAGGCGATATATTGAATGATTGGGAATTGCTTGAAGAAGAAATCAAGAAGGAGAGCATTCTTTTGAATTGTAAAACAAACGAAATTAGAAACACCGGGATTGATTATAGTTCAAATTATCCCTCACACACGGTCTCTGTTGATGACCTAAGTTTTAACTTCTCTGCTATTCAAGAAGAAGATAGTTCACGCCAAAAAGATGCTTTGGATAATTCATACGATCCTCCTGTTTTAATTGATACGAAAGACCTTATTATGATCCCCCAGTCTTTTTCGGTAAGGGCTATACTTTTCTTATATTCATTTACTATACTACCGTCTTATGCTATCTGTTTC